CAAACAAAATCTTGGTATGGAAATCATGTTACAATAAGACTACATTTTAAAAATTGTAATTGCTTTTATTGAAGCAACATTGGTTTTTTAACATTATATAAATTTCAAGTGTACATATTTATATTTCGATTTCTATGTAGAGTACATCATATTCACCACCCAAAGATTAAGTACCATTGGTTACTGAACACATAAGCCCTATTTGGCCCTCATTCCTCCCTCTTCCCCTCTGGTAATCACCAATCCAGTCTCTGTATCTATGTGTTGGTTTATTGTTGTTGTTTTTATCTTCCTCTTATGAGTGAAATCATGTGGTATTTGACTTTCTCCATCTGACTTACTTTTCTTAGCCTAATACCCTCAGGATCCATTCATATTGTCACAAATGTGAAGATTTCATCTTTCTTATAACTGAGTAGTCTTCCATTGTATATATACACCATTTCTTCTTTATCCCTTCATCCATTGATGGCCAGTTAGATTGTTTCCAATTCTTGGGTACTATGAGTAATGCTGCAATGAACCTAGAGGAGCATGTATCTTTTCAACCTAGTGTTTCATGTTCTTTTGATAAATACCCAGAAGTGGAATAGCTGGATCATATAGTTATTGCATTCTAAGTTTTTTGAGCAATCCTCATACTGTTTTACATATATATACTACTGGGTATATATCAGAAGGAAATGGAAACAGATATCAAACAGATATATGAACCTCATATTGATTGCAGCATTATTCACAATAGTCAAGGCATGAAAACAACTTAAGTGTTCACCTACAGATGAATGGATGAAGAAGAGGTGGTACATACCATATGTAGTATATATATGGAATAATGGAATATTATTCATCCATGAAAAAGAATGAAATGTTGCCTTTTGTAACAGTACAGATGGACCTTGAGGGCACTACACAGAGTGAAATGTGAGACAGAGAAAGACAAATACTGTGTGTTCTAACCTGTATGAGAAATCCAAAAAGTCAAACTTATAAGAAACAGTGAAGAGGGGCCAGCTCTGTGGCCGAGTGGTTAAGTTCACACACTCCATTGCAGCAGCCCAGGGTTCGGATCCTGGGTGTGGACATGGCACCGCTCGTCAGGCCACATTGAGGGGGTGTCCCACATCTCACAACTAGAAGGACCTGCAACTAAGATATACAGCTGTGTACAGGGGGGATTGGGGGAGATAAAGCAGAAAAAAAAAGGATTGGTAATAGTTGTTAGCCCAGGTGCCAATCTTTGAAAGAAAAAAAAAAGGAAGATTGGCAACAGTTGTTAGCCCAGGTGCCAATCTTAAAAAAAAAAGAAAAAGAAAGAGAAAAAAGTTAAAAAAAGAAATAGCAAAGAGAATAGAGGTTGCCAGTGGCCACAGTTGGGAGAAATGGGGAAATATTGGTCAAATATATAAGTAGAATAAATTCTGGAAATCAAATTTACACGTGGTGATTATAATTAGCAATAGTGTGTTACATGCTTGAAAGTTGCTAAGAGAGTAAATCGTAAACATTCTTTCAACAGAAAAAGAAATTGTAATTATGTGAGGGGATGGATGTTGGATGTGTTACCTAATAATATCGTGGTCATCATTTTGCAACATAGACGTATATAAATCATCACATTGTGCACATTGTGCACCTTAAATTTACAAATGTTGTATGTCAGTAATATCACAATAAAGCTGAGGGAAAATACAAAATAAAAATTAATAAAGCTAGTGGATGAAAGTTAAATGAAAAGCAGAATTCTATCCGATTTCAACATTCTCCCCACAAGGTACTTATGGACTACTGAGGGAAACAGTCACTTCATAGCAGAGAAACTTGGTGGACACCATGTTAAACAAGTGTTCTGGGTCAATATCACCAGTAATGGAATAGAGAAACACTATGCACTTTTTAATAAGCTGCACTCAGGAGGACACAATACCACTTCTGTGACACTACTGTCAAAAATGAATAATTTAATTATGCATAAATGCTAGACAAAGATAAATTGAAAGAATTATACATAATAAATGGCCTGTACTCTTCAAAAATGTTAAGTTCTTTAAAGATAAAGACTGAGAACTTGTTCCATATTAAACAACAGAGAAACGGTTCCAGATTAAAGGACACTAAGAGACATAACACCTAAATCCAATCTGTGATCCTGGATTAGATCATTTTTTTAGGATATATCCCAAGGGCACTTGGGGTAGGTGTGCATTATATTCTGTAATATTTCAGAAAAAATTTTAAAAAACATATTAATATTATATTATCATAGACAGAAAAGGAAAGCAGCCATGGTAAAATGTTAACATTTGTGAAATCTGGTGAAGATCTACATTAAGTCTTTGTATGATTTTTCTTTCCTGAAAATCTTTTCATTGTTGAGTTATACGCACAATATCTTAGACTTGAATTGAAAACTTATGATGTTTGAAATCACTTGATGTTGTCATAACATATGGTAACCAGTCACTTTCCAGTCTCACGTTTGTAAAATAGACGTAGAAGATGTGAACCTGACGCCAACAGAAGCACCGAGAATGAGTGTATCTGGGCTGGGTGCCAGAGCTAGTTTCTGTGATTACCTGCAAGACATATTTGTGCCAATAATCCTGTATTGCTGAGGTACAAGAAGAGGAGATAACTGAACATGTATATAAGGAATCTGCTGCACAGGATGACACATAAGATGAAGTGGACAAAGATTGGGAGACATCTGTCTGAATGAGGAGGAGAAATTTACTGGGGTAAAGAGGCAGTTGCTGCTTCCGTGTGTTTAACCTCCATTCTCAACTGGGAAAAGACTAGCATCGTTGTCAGTTCTTCAATAAAGTGGCTGGTAACCCAAATTCATGTGTGCTGTGTAAATGCCCGTTCACCACATGTTGATTTAAGGTGTAGGGTTAGCAATGGGAGAATCTTGGGCTTCTAGCTTACTTTGGGTGCTCTTGACCATAAGAAGGGAACTTAGAGCTAAAAATCCATTGTCATTACCCTGATTTTGTCACGGTCAAATTGCATAAGCTTAGACAAGTCATATGTCTTCTTCCCTGTAGCTTGCTCATGTACAAAGTGAGAAAAACTTATTCCTATCATACTACCTGTGCTCAAATTGCATAACATTCATGTAATCAGTTTGAAATGTACAAAATAATGCAAACAATAATATCTGTGTTGAGAGTTGGGGGAATTTTGGTAACTGATATTTGTTTTAGCTTGCAAATTAAATAGAATATCATGCTATTGTGGCTAGGGATCAACATCATGTAGGCTATAGTTATAGTATTGTAAAAAATAGTCTACACATGTAAAAGAACATGTATACATTTGCAAAGCAGAAAAGGAAAAAAGAGAATGGGAAATTAAAAAGTTCTTTTTAAAAAGTTAGATACTGAGAGACTACGATACTACAAAAGGTGCCCCCAACAATTTAATGTCCATAGTGCAGAATGGGTCAGAGAATTAAGCTATGTTTTTTAAACTTTTTGTAAGCTTTTCTTGTTCTGTGATGATTCACTATATGCAGTTCCAGTTATTTAGTAAAAGTTCTTCTATATACATGACTCTTGGTTCTTTGTTTCTTGGACATTAGGTTAAGGAATTAAATACATCCCATACTGTTGTTTATGCCCAGTTGCAGATAAAGGAAGAATCACAGACACACAAAGGAGAAGACACAGTCAGCAGAATCGGTGTAATCACAAGCCACACAGGAAACTGAGGGGAAGTTTTGAGATGTGTTTTTCATTTTAATAATTTAGGAAATCGGGTTTGAATCAATCATATCTAAACTTTAAAGGCCTCAAAAGCTACAACTGACATATGGGTTACCATACAAAACTCAAGTGTTGCCAAGATTTTGCTCTATATTTAATCACTCTTTATCCATTATTCCACTCCAGCTGAATATGGCTGCCAGTTTAAAGTGTCATATACCTAGTACAGTTATTTCAGATGGAGACAGTTGGCAATAATATAGGTAACAAAATCATTACTTTTATTAAAAAAATCTACTTCCTGATTTGGAAAATATATAAGCTGATTTTCATAATGCACTTCCTAACCTCAAACATTCAAATAAAATCAAGCTTAAAAAGAAATAAAAAGCTAGTATCTTTCATTCAGCTTTTATCATAAAATTTTTCCAAATATAGTTTCAGGTAACTCTTTCAAACACTCACTGGATTTATCAGGTCGTTTTCAGAGCCCAGTGCTCTTTCTGCCTTAGATATACTTTATTGCCCCTTAGGTGATGCCGGTGCTCCAAGAACTTAACTTTATCCAACTCACCTAACCTATAATATCCATTACTTTACAAGCTATATATCACAGCTTCACAAGTTGTTTCCACCTCCTATATTTCTTACTGCCTTGAAAAAAGAGAAACATGAGATGCTAACTTTTGCTGCTTTTCTTGCTATGATTCATAAATCTTATTTTCTTACTATTGTTAATGAAATATTAGAGGCTACAGACCAAAGATTCTCTCAATATTAACTACTATTCAAAATATCATAAGTGATGGAGAAAAGATTTAAGTTATTTCACTGTGTTGTTAACTAAACCAAAGAATGAAGAAAAAGTTTATGATGAGTTCTGTCTTAAAAGCAAGAAGTCAAAAGACTTATTCTAGATTTTTTTTAAATTAAGAATATCTTTCCATAAGAATTACAGCTGCTCTTTTATCAATATTTACAACAAGTTCCATGCCTCATTTTCAATTAAGAAAAGGATACTTCTCATTTATTGTGTTTGTGCCACTGAACAAATTTATTATTGATGTTTGATCTTGATGTTCTGTGGCTGTTTTCTCCATTAGAGAGTGATTGATATTTTGGAAACTGTTTAATTCAAAACTGTTACCAAGATCTCTGTGACTTTGTGAGAGTACATGCTCAATAAGTGCTGATAGAGTGAGTGAATGACAGACTGGTTGATGAATGGGTGGATGGATGAATCACTGGTGAAGAGATGCTTCACTATACTGTTAATGTCACAAGTATACGGGTTCAATCGCACCCCATTAGTCTCTTTACTGCCACTTTTACATCTTTGTTTCTGAGGGTGTAGATGAGAGGGTTGAGGCTCGGTGTGACAACAGTGTAAAAGAGGGCAATGAACTTGCCTTGATCTTGAGAATTTCCTGATGGTGGCTGCAGATATATGCACATGGCTGGAATGTAAAAGAGGGATACAACCGTAAGATGGGCTCCACACGTCCCGAAGACTTTCTGACGTCCAGTTGTTGACTGCATCCTCAGCACAGCCCGGGTAATGGCACCGTAGGAGATGAGAATGAGGATGAGAGGTATAAGAACAAAAGTAGAGCTCGTGACCAGGAGGGTCAGCTCATTAGTATGGGTATCAACACATGACAGTCGGAGCAGTGCTGGAACTTCACAGAAGAAGTGGTCCACTTGGCGATGCCCACACAGGGGTACCCAGAAGGTAAATGAGAAATGAAGGGCTGAGTTGGTAAAGCCACTTACCCAAGAAGCTACAGCTAGCAGATAGCAGAAACGTGGGTTCATGAGGACAGTGTAATGCAAGGGTCTACATACAGCTACGTATCGGTCATAGGACATCACCACCAGTAGCACACACTCTGTGGTTCCCAGTGCAAGAAAAAAGTAAAGTTGAATCATGCAACCGGCGTAAGAGATGGTTTTCTCTGGGCCCCAGAGGTTGACCAGCAACTGAGGGATGGCACTGGTGGTGTAGCAGAGATCCAGAAAAGAGAGGTTTGAGAGGAAGAAGTACATGGGAGTGTGGAGATGGGAGTCCATGTGTGACAAGATAATGATGAACAGGTTACCTATCAATGTCATCACATAAAACATTAAGATAACCACAAAGAGAACTATTTCAAAATGAGGCCAATTAGAAAAACCCAGTAGAACAAAGTAGTTTTCAAAACTTGCATTGATTTTTTCCATTGTCATTCTCTTCTTGTTACCTGAGGAAAGAATCACACACACTCAAAAAAAAGTAAGGAAATGCTCCAAGAATCATAGGGACACAAAAAAGAAACAGAAATCAGTTTGAAGGGCCTACCAGTCTTCAATTCTATGACATTTTGTGTATTAAGAGAAACTATGATACTAATGAATTGAAAGAAATTAGAAGCTGCAAGCTCATATGGACAATTAAAAGAAGAATAAATAGTGGAGAAGAGAAAGTAATTCCTCTTGGTAGGATTCTAATTTAAACATATAGAAGAAACTGTGGAGTTAGAAAAACATAAATGGATGCTCAAAACAAGTGAATGAAAATATGATGATAAAAAGCATATTCACATACTCTAAAATATCTCCCCTCAAATTAATTGTTAAATACAAAATGAAAAATACTAAACTTTACAATAGAAAAACCTAGGGTATGTCACCATAGCCAAGTATCCAATGTTAACATCACAAATGTTGAGACAAACCAACACTATATGTCTACTGATATGATGCCCCGAACAGGACATAAAGTCACTTCAGTGACATTCCTGCCAAAAATGCACACTTAATTCTAATATTGAAAACGCATGAGACAAACTCAAATTGAGACAAGTTGGACAATGTAGCTGGGCTGTACTCTTCACAAATATCAAATTCAATGAATTTGAAGTGGTTAAGGAAGTGGTTCAGATTAAAGGCGATCAAAGAAATACGATATCTAAGTGAGTGATCCTGGACTGGGACAATAGCTATTAACAACATTATTGAGATAATTGGAGAAATATGAATCTGAACCATGGATTATATTTGTATTGCATCCATACTAAATTTTCTGATTTCCTTAATTATACATTAGTTATGTAGAATAAAATGCCTGTTCTTAGAAAATAAACACTGAAGTATTTAGGGGTAAAGGCACATGTCTTCAACTTACTCTCAAATGTTCCAGAAAAAGCGATGCTAGGTAGATAGATAGATCGATCATACATACATACATAGAGAGATAAGTAGGTAGATAGATAGATAGTTAGAAAGATAGGTGATAGATGATAGAATGGAATAAATCTTTTTAAGAACAAAGTAAACTATTGCTGGATCTAGTTAAAGGGTTAACGGTAGTTCTTTGTCTCACTTTTGCAACTTTTCTGTACATTTTAAATTTTACCTGAATAAAAAGCTACAATAGGTAAATATGAAATAAAACATTTTTCACTTTTATATTTCATCCAGATATTTTCCCTGTTATGGAAAAATAACTTCTTAACTGTTGAGTTCTTCTCATTCATCCCAGAGTGATATCTGGGTAAATAGTAACTTGAAATTTAATTACAGAAGAAAATTTCCATGGAACAAATCATCTATTTTTAAACAAATAGCTTTAGTTTTCTCTTCAGTGTATTTCCATTTATGTGACTAGGGAAGACAGAACAACTGCAATCCCGGTAATCTCACAGATAGATGAAAAAGCATGATGAACAATATCAAATTTGTTAGTGATTTCAAAATGTTTATATACAGTGAAAATATTGAGCTTCCATTAAATATTCTTATAGAAAGAATCTAATCTTCTGATTTGTTTACTTGCACTCACAGATTATTTCTAAACTGAAAACTAAGATACAAATAGAGATGCAAAAAAGAGGAACACAGACACCTACACATCAATTTATGGATATTCATGCTATGAACAAAGCTGAAAACCTTAGTTCAGAAGAATAGATCTGTGAAATAGACTGGGGAGAAGAGAGACAGAACACTTCCTAAAGGACAAATAAATATAACTGAATTTGAAAAGCGAAATTTTTATGAAATGAAAGATATACATTCATTGAGAGAGCAAAGAAGGAAGAGAGGATGGAGGAAAATGGAGAGTAACCTAACTATGGTGCTTAAAGTTGAAAGTGTGTATATGTGTGTCACGGGGCTGGGAAGCCTGAACCACAGAACCTGAAGAAGGTTTCTACATTATTTCTTTTTTACTGGGGCAATAACTGAGATAGTGTTTAAATTCTGAGCATAATTCATAATTTCGACATATATTTTTACTCTCCTACCTAGAGAATCCTTCTGAATTTTTACTGAAGCTGTTAAATGTGTGTTTATCATTTACTATATTGTGCCTAGTGAACATTATTTCTTTTTTGTTAAAAAATGAAGTACAGGGCCGGCCCGGTGGCACAGCAGTTAAGTGAGCACGTTCCACTTTGGCGGCCCTGGGTTGGCTGGTTTGGATCCTGGGTGAGGACATGGTACCACTTGGCACGCCATGCTGTGGCAGGCGTCCCACATAGAAAGTAGAGGAAGATGGGCACCAATGTTAGCTCAGGGCCACGCTTCCTCAGCAAAAAGAGGAGGATTGGCAGCAGATGTTAGCTCAGGGTTAATCTTCCTCGAAAAAAAAAATGAAGTACATTTTGTAGACAGTTGTAACTCTTAGGTGATTCGTTTCTCTTGTTGGTTTTCAGTCTTTCATAGGAAAGATTAACACTACCCCTTGTGATATAGCTATCATGACAAGGCACAGTAACCCACCATTTAAATATCCCTCCTTCTCTCTGTGCATGTTTTGCCTCATTCAGCTTTGCACACCACTTCTGCTTCCCTATTTCCACAGCCAATTCTTTCTCTCACAATTCCCAATAAGCTATGGCAAAAAAGAAATCACAGAACAGGCTTCTGTGGTTACCTCTTTTGGGTCTCTTAATTGCTCACGTCCCTATAACTAACTCTTGAAAAGATGTTAGTAGTAGCTATTTGGTTGACTTTCAACAGGAAAGTTAAAAACAGTTTCACCCCAAGGCTGTAAGACTGATTCAGGCCTTTTAACCCTTAATCATTAACTAGTTGTTACCCTAACATAGACTACTTTCTACAGCTGAGAAACCAGCCAGGATAATCAGATAGTACAATGCTTAAAAAGAACATTTTTTATAATTAAAAAATAATTTAATATAAAGAATTATTTAACTATGTAAGGAGAGTACCTATAAAGCTGTAAAGAACTTTACAAAATATCTTGGAACAAGAGGCAGTATTTAAGAAAGGACAACCTTGAAGGGAGATTGTCTCCCCAGGGCCAAGGTTCAGACCTCATCAAAGAAGGTTTGGTTACAGTACACTGGCTGGTGTATAAGCTCGCTCTGGCTATATCAAAAAATAACAATGGTCAAATAGTAAATCATAAAGATTATTGAACTTAAGAGTTCACAGTCATTTGAGGGATAATGAAAAAGTCCCAAGATTCTTTTCAATTTCACTACAATGGGATTTAATACCTCTTGAGAAATAGGAATCCAAATGTTGTTGCTTCTTCTGATGCAGATATACTTTTCTTCTTCCTTATATGGTCACCTGAATTAGTACAATAACTAAAACAAAGTGGCAGTTGTGAGATATCTTCACCTGTTGCATGACTCATCCTTCAGCGTTTTTATAGAAGTTAGAAACAGATATGACATAAGGGACAAAAAAATCATCAGATATAAGTAGAGAAAAGGTGCGAACTTTACAGTTTCATTTTCTTTTTACTGGAAGAGAGAGAAAAAAGGCCTTATCAAAGGTTGCTTTTATGAGCTATGAAATGAACTATCGCCACCCTTTTTTTGAAATAAAACATTATGGAGGAAAAGTTGTTGGCCATGAGTCTACTTTCCTTACCCTTATATCACTAGCCAACTGATATTTATACTACATTAGTCCTTTTATACTCTTACCTAGTGCTTACTAAAATTGGGACAACTCCTTTCACTTCTGTTCTTCCTGTGTCTGTCCACATTCCCTGTAGTATTTGTCTCCCTAATCTATGTTCTCATTTGTTGTGGGCCAATCTGATCTCTGGTTTTCATCTCCTTGAAATCACTAACATAAATGGCTGACAACACGGTATATTTTAGTCTACCACATCAAATTAGGATAGCAGAATCTGAAAATTACTCTGATTTTCATTACTACTAAAGAAAGAGTCCTGTGTCTACCAAAAGATTTGGTTTTAGCTGGAAGGAGGAACTCATGAGAACATTCAGTGTATCCCAGGGGATGGACTCTTTTTCCTAGAGCAAACAGAGGCTTTGTGTAAACAAGAGAATCATGTGACTAGCTTCCCTTGCCTGGGGCCATTGGGAGAGTAAATCCCGAAGTGGTAATTATTGCCCTTCAAGGAGTTGTCCTAGTTAGAACAGTTTTTGAAGACGACTTTCAACATTATATCACACTTTTGTTCTAGGATAAAATGAATCTACAGACCAACCATCACTGATAAAATTGCATTAAGCTGTGTTTATAGAGAAGGGATTGAGTTGTCCTGAATTATCTGGAATTTCATCCTTAATTCCTCATCATGCTATTGGCTAAATTTGACAAACTTAAACTTAACTTAAACTTATCTGTGACTTAAACTTCTCAAAGATAGTCTAATTTGGGGGAAAAGGGAAGCATGAAACATTTTTGAAAATGGCATGCCTAAAGACATAGTTGTATATCTTTGCCTTTTTAATTTGAGCTGTGTCTGCCTGACATCTCTAAAATTCAAGGCCAAGTTTAGCCATTCAAAAGGATTGAAAGACTATTCAAACAATTATTTAGACTTTAACTACCAAATCTCAGAAAATTTAACAAAACTCTTTAATATTTTCATGAATAATTTCCATCAGTATCTTGTGAAAAGTTTTGCCATAATATGTAAACAAATAAAATTGGCTGTGATGGCTAGTCTACATCCAATATTTGCCTTGCTGCTGTAAACAAAAAGAATTACATCATGAGTTTATATTAATGAACATTTGTTTTTAGCTAGTATATTCCATTTGTAGCAAAGAAAATGTTGGTATGGAAATCATATTATAAGACTCCATTTGAAAAATTGTAATTTCTTCTATTGAGGTAACATTGTTTTTTTAACATTATATAAATTTCAAGAGTACGTATTTATATTTCGATTTCTATGTAGACTACATCACATTCACGACCCAAAGATTAAGTACCATGGGTTACTGAACATA